TGTATGTATGTATGTATGTATGTATGTATGTATGTATGTATGTATGTTATTATGTGTGTTATTATGTATGTTATTATGTATGTTCTGTTATGTTATGTGATGTAATTTGTTTATGTATGTTATATTATGTTATGTTATGTTATGTTATGTTATGTATATATGTATGTATGTATGTATGTATTAATGTTATGTTATGTTATGTTATGCTATGTCATGTCATGTCATGTCATGTCATGTCATGTCATGTCATGTATGTATGTTATGTATGTTATGAAAGTTATGTATGTCATGTTTGGTATGTAGGTATGTATGTATGGATGTATGTATGTATTTTTGTGTACCATTATATACCGATGCGTTTTGCACCAACGAATTTGCGCAACTCCAGAAAACAGGTGAAACACTTTTCTGGATGTCTTACACATCCTTGGTTCACAGCGAGGAATTACCACTTAGTGTGTGATGTTGGTGCCTACCATGATCAATCGGACGTGTGGAAGAACCAACCGACTAGATCTTCAGAGGGGTCACGTTGCGTTGCAGTTCTCGGATGCTCACACCACAATCAACTTCAGGTGGTGGTGTCCGATATGTTTATATATGTTCGGCCTTTATTTGGAATGATTGATTCCACTGGCTGTGAATTTGATAAGTCAAAGCAACCAGAACAATTTGGGGTGCAAACGCATCTCAGCTTGTGACCAGCCACGACCGCCTCGAGGCAACACGGCCATTGAGAGTGCCAGTGCCGACAAGGACGTCGCGACCTTGAAGCAAGTCCAGGCCAAACAGAAGCAGGCGAGTATCCCAGCGCCGTTGTTGGATGACTAAGAGAAAGTGCAATCCGAAACGTCATGGGACTGACATATTGATCATATTGGTGCTACAATTAAGGGTGGTTGAAAAAGGGGTCAATATATTCCAAGGACCATGCGACAGGGCTTGATTGGACATCGCTTGAAGAACCCAGGTTGGTCTCCAACAGAGCTTCAGCTTGAGCCACCCGGCCAACTGGCGATGGAAGTGAAGCACGGATCCGCCTGAACGAGTTGCGCCGGGGTACGAAGTCCGAAACCTTCCTTGAGCGCTTTTGAAGGAGCTGTGCCAGAAGACCTCTTCAGTAAACACAGGCCATGCCTTCCTGAGCGGACTTTTGTTTTCTGTGAAGACGCCGAATCGACGAAGTCGCCCTCCCGACGTGTCCCGCATCAGAGGCTTTCGAAAGGCCACGCAGGATGGAAGGCCATGAAGTCCCCGCGTTTGGCGGTGGAGGAGCCATGCATTGGCGACTTCGATGAGGGGCCGTGGATTGCATCCTTGGGGACAAGAGCTGCTTCTGGCCTTTCACCAGCTCACCAGTTGGGGGCCGTTGGACATTCGACGTTCCAGTGCGGAAGTGCATGTTCTTACCTAAGCCTCACCAGGACAAAGGACACTTGGCGCGGGCCGATGCACAGCCCATTTACTGCAGCCTGGCGGCCATTGTCAGAGCTTCACAGCCGCTGAAACCTCGATCTGACAAGCTGACTGAGCACGTGTGGGAAGGTCGAAGTGAGTGATGCTCAGGTTTCTGCCGTTTAGCCCTCCCAATATCCAGGGAGATGTTGGCTCTATGAAATATTGCTTTGTCCCTATGATTCGCTTTTCCTTGACCCATTTTGACAGGGGTTGTGGACGTGGACACAAAGAGTATGCAACCTGGAATGCTATTAATTATGTTAGTTATATATAGAAGAACACTTGGCGATGTTCAGGAGACACACGAACACGCAATTAATTATACGAATTATATATATAATCCCCTGCCGAATAAACTCTATAGAATCTGAGAGCTTGAGCTCAAAACGATTCTCATGTTTTATAAACAATTTTCTTATAGAATGGAATGTCAACCTACCTTAAAGAGACACAATATTTGAAACATGTGGTCCAAAAAAGTCAGTTCAGTTTGTTCTCGCAAAATGGGTGCCGACATTTCATTCTATAGAGAGGGCACGCCATGTCACCAGATTTTAACGTTTGATTGTATAGAAAGCATTTGGAGTAGTACTGTAGAAGGTTCAGAATTGATTTCAGATTGGGTGGTGCGTTGTGAGGTCAACTTCAATTAAAGGCAGGAAATGAAGGAATTGGACCAGCAAACTATATGACATTATATAGTTTTTTCTTTTTTACGGGAATAGTGAAACATATGTTTTCCTAAAATCACTGAATCTCCCATTTTTAGATACTTTAGTGGTCCAATTCATCATTTCCTGTCTTTCCTTGATGACTAAAGAGTTTTGAGGACATGACTAAAGTAGTGTTGGGGTTCTAGATGTTAATTGCCCAATCACCCCTTTATAAAGTTATTTTTTACACATGGGCAAACATGTGTATCCAAACAAGTCTCTGTAAAATCAAAACCCACCTTTTGGTCCACATTTGTCCTGTGTTTTCTCAAATCAATCTCAACCTTCATATTTTCCCACACTTCTCTTTAGAATCAATACAAACATTGGCTATGCATCATAGGTTTTTCCCATTTGTTGCTATCAATTTTTCATGATGATGAACACCCATACCCTGAGGCACCTCATTCTTTGAGAACATGCTTCCGGCACTGCAGGAGGTTGATACGCGATTCTATAGTGGTGCAAACTGCCCTCGGAGCCTGCTTTTCGTTCTAGCACTTTCAAATCACGTCCTAAGGTACACCGGCAATTCCACAGCCAATTATATATAGATACATATGACTATACAACGTAGACTGCATACACAATACATGCACCTATTTACATACAAGTATGCACATGATATCATATGATTATAGAAACCTGGATATCCATTCCTATAGCAGAGTTGAGTTTATAGTGTGTGTGCCCAGTCTCGTTTTAGTCAAGTGGGTGATGCTTGTAGAATCGTTCTCAACCTGGATTTTCATTTCAGAGTGGCAATGTGTTGTCCCTTAGATGGGTTCTGGCTTTCCATTCACTGCAAACATAAATTTGACCCATGCCTGTTCAATTGTAACACCTGGATTTCCATTTTCATAGGGATGTTTTAAGACGATAGAATTCATGGCCAACAATTTTCCATGCCCCAAGGATCCCTCCAGTGGTTGCATCAAGAAAAATGATGTCCTGAGAGCCTGAGAGCTACCTAGGCCGCCTGTTTTGGGAGCAACAAAAATGAGTTTACTTATCAAACAGCAGTCAAATGGGTTCTATAGGCTATATTGAAAGGTGTATTTATATATATATACACAACATATACACTTTGACTTGCTTGTGAACGCTTTGTGAAACAGATGTGGGTGCTTTTATGCCACTGGGTTTGGTGCTGCCGACACGATGGGTTGCTTCGAAAAGGCCATACCCTCCCTAGGAGACTGTGCTCGACCCCTCGGCCAAAAACCATTGGCCTAGTAGCGGCGGCGGTAGCAGCAGTAGACAGAGCAGTAGCCGCACCGACCTGGAGGCCACACAACCAGGTCTGGCAAGTTGCTCGCATCAAATAGGCTGTCGGTGAACGCACTGGTGTGAACACCCTTTCCGAGGTCGAGCGCTGGTCTTTGAGGTGTCGTTTCCAAGAGTTTTAGACAATTTGTTGCTTTGCTTTTCTCAATGCGCTTTGACGGCCAGGAAAAGAGAAAACGTAGAGTTCTTGATCGTTGAAGTTAGATGGCCATGCATTGCTGCTGCTCATGAAACTCACCTGGAGGGTGCTTTGTTAGTCGGTCAGGTTGGTTGCTTCAAACGCTGGGCTGGGTGCCCGTGCCTTTTTCGACCCAACGCCTTTCTCTCGGGAGTCCTCCACCTTGATTCCCCTCCAACACGGTCGGGCGGCGGCCCGCAGACCGGCACTCCAGGTGGAAGCACTCCAACAGATCTTTCAAGAGATCGATCGCGACCAGGAGAACGAAGTCAGCTTCGAGGCGACCGATGACGGGACGTTTTCCGTGAGAGACTCTGGACAAGGGCGATGATTAGGCGTTGCTACGGTGGGAGAGGCTTTTGGGGGAGTCAAGAAGGGAAAACCACAAACGCAACCCTTTGCACAAGACTGGGTATAGGACTTGCACAACTTGAACCCCCCAAAGATATATAAATCTGCCCAAATCTCCTCCCACTCTTAGTGGCGGTGCATGCGTTGCTAGTAGCAAGAAGCTGGCGTTCCAACAGAATGCCCCCCCCCCGGGGGTCGCCGAGGATGTGAAGACCGCCATCGCCAGCGGCGAGCTGGCGGATTTCTTGGAGTCGATCGGCCGCTTGGAAGCGAACCTCTCCGGACCATGGCAATTTACGGTATAACCTAACCCTAGGGCCCTAGGGGCTCCAGTCGTACCTTAAGAGAAGGTGGGACTGGGGTGGGTGCCAGGAGGGTCCCAACACCTTCTGAGGAGGTACCCTAGGGTAATGCAAAAGGTAGAATCTTAATTCAAGAAGCAATTTGGATTGTAAGACCTTTTCATGTTTGGCTTTTTATTCAAGAGTCATAATTCTTGCATTGGCCAATCACCAGGACCTTCATAATGACCATACTTGACCCCAGTTTGTTTGATCCATCAATTTGGGGAAAGTTCAGCACCCAAGAACTGCTTAAAAAGATCTCCAGTTCGATGTGTTTTTCTCCTTCACCAGGTTTTGAAGTCCTCAGAGGGTGGACAAGTCCATTTTTGTCCCCTAAGAATCACGTAAGAAATGGCTGGAGGTTGACTCATGTCAATCAGGTTCCTGAACCACACACATCTACATAATATGAACTGGGATCAACGTTGCAACGTCGTTCCAACCCACCGACCGCCGTTTTGGTCTCCAACCCACCAACCCGATCGGCCCGATCGGCTTTCCCTTTGTCAGACCGCGAGTCGGCACAAGACCAATAGTCCAATGAAGGTTTGAAGACCAACGGTGGTGCCAAGATCGGTTGAGATGGTCGACGTTCTGTACCTTCCGAGAAAGTACCTTGCATATAACTTATCCCTGTTCCTAGCCTAAGGGCATTCACGGGAATTTGGGTGCTTGGAATCCTGGTTCCGGTCGTGCTGCGGCCGGCACCGCCTCAGGTATTTCCACGAACGACGTTTGGACCGGTGGACGGTTGGGGTGGGCACAGTGCCTCCGGACTTCTCGTACCTTGAGTCCTTCGGACACGACCTTTAAAAGGTACGAGCGGGACGCGACCTGCGGGGTGGGTGTTTTTCCCGTGTTTTGTGTGTGTGTGATGGTTTTTTAAACAATGTTTTTGGGGACCTTTTTCGGTAAAAACATGGTCCTGGGTACGGCGGAAGTCTCCCATGCGAAACAAACCAGACATGCAATGACGACCGCGAGTTGAGGGGTTGAGATGAGAGGTTGAGAGCGCTTTGTCTTCTGCAGAATATTGGAGTGGTGTCTAGTCATTCCATCCAATGCTAGAAATTGGATCCAACCCCACCTCGGTGGCCCTCGCCATCCCTCGCTACCGATCAGGATGATTGCTACATTCAGCCTTTGTTTTGGCATGTTTGGGCCACTTGAGCTGGGGAACCATCGGCGTCATTGGTGGAACTAGAGCCGCTGGACCTGGTAGAAGCGACTTCACCCATAGCTTTCAAAGCACGTGCATACATAAATAAGGCGTAAACCCACCATAAAATTGTAATCAGACTTCTTTCTCATATTCTTCCGAGAATCTCGCATCTGTGCTACTCGGAGGAAGAGGGATTGCATGGGATTTTGGTGTGACCAGATTTGCATAGCATTGGGTGTTGAATGTTGTTGGTTTCAGTGGCTGTTTTCCCCTTTGTTTTCCTTAATGTTCATTCTTGGCCTTGTTCCTGTTCTTGTTCGTCAATGCTACATCCAACACGGAGAAAGTCCAGTGCTTCCGATCCACGGATCTCTGGTTCTTTCCTGGCTCTCCTCTCCTGGCCGTCGCATCACGCGGGGAGCTACGCCGACAGGACTCTCTTCATGCTTTTAGACTCGGACCGGAAGGGCTCGATTGACCTCGACGAGCTGCCCGGGAGGAAGATCGGACCGACCTGCTGGGAGGACTGGGTGTTGCGGTCTGTGGAGTGGTGCTGGGACTCTTAGGGAAACACCAGGACTCTTAGGGAAACACCAGGTTTAACCTTCAAGGATATGACATGGTTTAGGACTCTTAGGACTGGTTTAGGATTCCTGTCAAATCCTTGATAAGGCTTACATATTAGTAACCTTCAACTGGGGTTAGCGGAAGTTTTGGTCGCAGGTGCGCTATTGTCAAGTGGCAGTGTGTTACAATGCACTCCGCAACCGAGTTGGGAGCCCATGTAGTGGCGAAGGCTGGTGTTTCAGGTGCTTTGTGTTCCTACTTTTGGTACATGGTTTGTCCACCATTTACACTCTGAGCCACCAACATGAAAGATGAAAGTAGAAAATCGACCTTCAAGACCGTGTTGCTCTACAAACCAAGGCGGTTTTTCCACGTCCATGAGAGTGAGTGGGAGAGTGGCGGATGTCCAGTTGAGGTTCGTCTCGGGCTGCATGCAGCTGCATGGCCCGGCCAAGAGCTTGCAGATGGCGAAGATGAGCTATGAGAACAAGCCTCTTGGGATGAGAAGGTGGTGCACTCTGACGATGGCATCACATGGAAGTGGATGCGGCATAGGCACAAGACGACGTTCCGAAGCAGCGAAGCCGGGTGGGCCATCCACCTCCATGTCATGTGAGTGGCAGCATTTGCTTCGGCCAGCCAGCATGGTCCAGTGGTCCCGTCTTCACGGAAGCACGGACGCACCTGGTGTTCCTCCGTTCGGTGTTCCTCCGTTCCGATCCGACGGATTTCTGGAGACCAATCCAGTCACGGAGCTCGGGGGGTGCGATCCACGGAGGAAGTCGTGGTGCCCATCATCCACTCACGTAAGGGGATGAGCCACACCACCCCGTCTTGTGACTCCTGGAATATATTTATTGAATATATAATTCCATCTATACTTGGAACCTGAAGTGAACCCATCTTTTGGGAGGAGCAATTAACTATCCCATATAATAAGTGTTTATACTCCTGGTGTTGCATGTATTTCAGGGACCTCCGTGCCGTTGTCCCGCGCGGGCGATAGACAGGGGCCAGGGCGATCGACTGGGCCGCTAGGGAGCTGGTGGATCGGTGAAGACCACTGGAAGAGAAGTACAGGGAAGCTGAAGACCACTGGTTGGTTTAGAGGAATATCGTCGTTCAACATCTTTCAAAGGTCCATTTTCAGGTTCCGGACCTGGGTCTCTTCCCCGGGTGGATAGAAATAGATAGATATCACCTTTAAGCCAGAGTGAAGGAAGACCAGGTGGAGCAGGACCCAACAAACATCTTCCCCAGGACCCGTTTGAACCGCATATGGGGTTGAATGCTGGACCTGTCCGTATGTGATGAATGGACCTGTCCGTATGTGATGAATGGACCTAACCTTTTGTCAACCCCTTTGGGGAGACGAACGAACTGGTTAGAGGAAAACCCACCCTCCAAACCGGACCGGACTCTGATTCGGCCAGCGGCGAGGCCGAATGAGGTCGACGAAATTGGTTTCTGATTTCTGATGCCTCATGAGAACTCTTTGTGCGCGTGGAGACACCAAGTTTCTATAGAATCTCGGTGTCCCAAAACGTCAAATCTCACTTACCCTCAGTCTTTTAAAGAGCATCTAAGTCCATTTTCATCTAAACATGGCCATCTCCAACCCGCTCCAAAAGCGGGCACCCGAGGCTCACGCGGCAAGCCATCAAGTCACTGAGCCAGGCACTCTTCGGAAGCCGAAGCCAAAACGAGCCCTGGAAATGGACATGTCTCAGAATTGGTTCAAGGGAACCTCCACAAGAAACTCATGGAAACTCTATGGTTGGAAAGTGCAACAGCGTGGTTAGATGTTCGATGTTCCCTTAAACAATTCCGTTTTGGTTTCTGATGGTTTCTGGAAGTTCCACGGTTCTCAGTTTTGGATTCTTCAGCTGATTTCAGCTTGCGCAGTGGTGAGGAAGCGTTATTTGTTTATATGTTTTTTGGGGGGGTCAAGTGGGGCGTGTTTAATGTTTAGTGATTCTTTGAACTGCCATGGTTGATCATTATAGAAAAATGTTGTCCAGAATAAAGTTACTTAAAGCGGATTGAACTGAATTATATATTTATAGCCAACTTGGATCTGGAACACGGGGGGCCAGATCGGATGAGAACACTTTGCTGGATGCCTGTCCTTGCAGCATTGACACAGAAGGGCCGCTTTCAGATGCTTTCAGTCCAAACATGCCCAAACCCTCCTCGGTGGAGCATGCAGGACATTTACAACCTGAACAAGAAGCTCACCACGTCCACGTCCTTCAAGGAGCAAAGCACTTGGTTGCAATGCTTGTGTCCATGACTTGCTGGTTTCAATCGGTGAATCAGCACACAAGACCCTGAGAAACATATGCAGGAGATGAATTTCATATCGTTTCTTGCTAGTTGTTGATCCACTGTGAAGAACGGATCTCATGTTTGTCCTGTCAAGCATGTTGAAGACACTGGTATGATATCGACGACAAAGTTTATGTGAAACAAATATGCAAACAAACTGCTGATAGAGAGAAGTCAATTTTGCTTGGACATTTAAATGTAGATGCCATATGATGCCATAATCATACTTTCCATGAGTTAACTATAGATGTGGCCCACGTCTGTATCAATAGATCAAACCTGATCCACCGTGTACCGTATACAGTTGGCATCGTCTTTTTGTTTCTGTTTGAGTCATCGGGCCGCGTCCGTTGCAGGAGCCAATGCTTCCAGCGATCAAGGAGCAGTTCTGATTCAGATGTTTCGCGGATGTTTGGAGGTGAGCACGGCCTAAGGAACCCTTGGCCCAATGAATTATATATATATATATATTGGTTGATTTCCCGGCCCTTTTTTTGGATCCTTTTGGGGGGGTCCTATTTCTACCCTAGGGCTCCAGTCGTACCTCCTCAAAAGGTATGACTGGACCCTCTAAACCCACCCCAAACACCTTCTTAGAAGGTACTTGGAGCCCTAGGGATACACACTCTTTCATGCCATTGGAATGGGTCGTGGAGGGAAGTCACTCCGCAGGTCGTGGAGTTGGGTGAATTCGATACCCAAAGCAGTACACCCAGGGCCAAGCAGGTCCAGTCCTTCACCTCATTTGGGTGCGTTTCTTATATGATCAAGGTTGGATGGTTGACCTGCAGGGATGATGGGGGTATGCTGACCCGGGTCATTTGGAGTTCTCAAAGTTCACCTCCAGAACCTCATCTGAAAGGTTTTTGGACTCTCCAAAGCTGGACAATGGGCATGAAGACCCAGCATATCCCTGCATTGATGGTGTGATGTCACCATTGATGGTGTGGGGGTTCCAGTACGGACGCTGCAGACTAAGGCTGGCTTGGGCTTTGCATTAGAGCTCTTTTGATCCACTGGCCCGGGCCCGGGTGCCGTTTTCGTGGCTGGTGCCGCGACTCGCCATACGACGACGACAGCGGAGAGACTCAACCTCACTGCGAACACCATCGGTGGCCGAACCTCACGGCGAGAAAGATCCCCACGGCGAGAAACAGGGATGAGAAAAGGCAACAAAGAGGTGCATGATTGCTTATGACTAAAAGGCAACCAAAGCAACAAGAACAGCATCCCAACTGCATAACTGCGTTTTCGTTCCTTATTGCTTTCTGGCCTGTATGCTGGTTGAACTCTGAAAGCGCTGTCGTCCACTGCTTTTGGGTGCTGCATCGCTTTCTCCGCATTTTCTGAGCTGGCGTCCGAAGTGGACAGGATGGACACTGAAGCAGGAGAGGCAGAATGAGGTGCACGGTTTTGAATGTTTGCACTGCCTTTTTTACAGATGAACTTGAACATTCTTGAACTCCCCCAAAGCCACGGACGCCCCGAGGGAATTCAACCCATCTTCCAAAGGTTGGCTTTGGGGTTTGCTTTCAGTGGAACATCCCCCAGTGGAACATCCCCCAGATGAATGGGGCTACTCAGTGCCAAAAGTTAACATCGAGTCGACTGCTGATCTCTGTTTCGGAGATTGGCAAAAACCAAGGGCTGGCATGACCCGAAGCTGGTTTACGTCGAGAGCGGCCCGTGTCATGTGAGCAACCACTTTTATTCAGGCTTTACTAAAGCAGTCTACGGCATGCTGTATTTTCTTGTCTATCATCAGTATTCGCTTGTGAACAAGATAGGGTCCCCACATAAACATACATAAACGAGATACTCTTGCTTGATGACACAAAAGTAGTCTGAACGAGATGCTGTAGGGCCCCCATATAGATAGTGTATTTGAGCTTAGTACCAAATAAATGCCACCGTAATGAGCCCCCCAACTCAAATTGAGAAACCTCTTCATATGGGGGTGGTTGATGAATCAAGAGTCTACATTACCCTCTGAAAGCCAACTCTCTCAGACTCGTCGTACCGAAAGGTAACCTTTCGGCATGTGATCCACAGGGGCACAAAGCACATGTGTTGCCAGATCAAAAGGGTCTGTCTCACTACCAGTCGCTAAACAAACAAATCACACTTTTTTAGAACAAGGCCTGCAACCTAGCCATCATCCACTGTCACTGGTAATAGGATAGACCCTTTTTTTCATACATTATCACCTTGTTTTTGAGAAAGGCCTCTACCAATTACTAACCTTCAACATCCACTGCTGTTACTGGTATGTTTGGAAGTGTGACCCACTTCTTCACTAAGATGCAGAACTCGTGGACAAAATACTGCCTGGAAGCATGGGATATATCAAGTAGATCCCCAACCGATAGCGTCAGATCCACTTTTGACTCAGAACGTGTGTGGCACACCATCGCTGATCTCAAAGAGATATCCAGCGGTGACGAAGGATCATATCTTCGAAGGAGGATAAACGACGCGGTGACGCCATCCGATCAACAAAAGGCGTGATTAGCAAGGTGTTGATGTTGTATGTACTCCCCAAAGTGCCCTACTTAGCTTGAACTGCTTCAGTTATGCAAGACCATCCAACCATGCACAATGGACTTATATATCACAGGTAATCACTAGTACTTCTATAGGTTAGCATGATGTTATATGGTTATATAATATACTGTAACTACTTGGCGCTGATCGGCTGTTGATTGCTGGTCGATCAGGCGCTCGATCGGATCCCACGGACTGGCGAGTCTCCAATCCCCCCGTGTAGGTCGGTGCACGCCGTCGTTCGGGTGTGTCGTCCAACATCAGATGCCGAGAGGGGTCGCATGAGGTCACGGAGCGAGCGCCCTTTTCCTGGCGTCCGGCGGCGTCAGGTTGCTTGATGCGCCCTTTTTGCTGGCCATTTCAGCGGTTAGCGGTTTGCTCGTCGTCACCCCGGTTCGCTTCTCCATGGCGCCAAAGGTCACCTCCTTCCAAGAAGGCCAGGAGGGGTTGAGCCAAAAAAGAGGAGTGCCCTGGTACGGACTTCATATAGTCACATCCGAGGATGGCTATACGTTGTTGATCCTGACTCGGACGTTGTTGATAACATGTTGATGTGTTTTTCTTTTTTGTTTTTGCGAGCTGATCGTGCACAGCTATCGCCAATGGAACGTCCAGTTTCCGGAATGCGGCAGTCCCCTTCCAACTTAAATATCCCACATTACATCAGGTATCAAATGACCATGAGGATCAGTAGGGTTCATGTTGGTTTGACGTGGACCATTTCCTTTGATCTTTCGGGTTTCGCCTAACCCGTCGCACACGTGCGACTCCACACGTTTTGACAGGCACGTCGGACCGTCCTTGTTACCAGGCAAGGGCGAGGGACGCCAGCTGGATCTGAAGCCTGGAATGGATGGGGTGGGACAGGCGGAGCGCGCTACACGGATCAGCGAAACCTCACTCGCGCAGCGGGCAGGATCTAGTCCATGTGAAAATGCATGTGGAT